ATTTATTAAAAATTCTCTATCAAAAAATCCCAAATCTATATAGTTAATTAACTTAACAAAACTTAAATATCTGCAAGGAATGTTTATCCACATTATCATTAAAACCACAGTGGGCAAACAGGCATTTCCTTTAGATAGCTGAGGAATACAAATTTTTAAGAGTACATTGCTTGGTAAAGGACTGGATAAGCAAACCAATGACAATTCATTACAAATGAAAAAAGCGATATCACTGGCACCCGAACAGTGAGTCAATTCCTGCAGTGTCCGGGGAAAACCAGATGGGTGGTAACACTAATTGTGTCAAAGTGGTATTGTATAAAATATTGCTATGTAATGTTCTGGACATGTTGGTTGCATGATTGCCAATGGCTGTATGAAGTGTTCCACAAATTAGCAGCTCTCCATTCTCCCATACGAAAAGCCATCTCTCACAGTGTTGCCGTTCCTAGTACATTTGTACTTTTCTGGTACATTTTGCCCTTTCCAATAAATTGAAAGTACATTTAGATTTTTAGTACATTTTCAGTACATTATAATATTTCAAGTACCATTTACGGTACAAAATAATATTTCACGCCTTAACGAAAAAATGAGAAAAAATTAGTTTAATAAAGTCTCACTAGTGTCACTGCTTGCTAATTTAAATTATCCAATCACAACATACAAATGGTGTGTGTCCGTCGACGTCAGCAACATAGATAGTTGCACGTGTAAACGGTCTTGACTCAGTGGTCTTCTTTCACACGTTCAGTTGTCTGCACATTCTCATCAGGACCTTGACAAAATTTTTCATGCCACGTGGTCCAAACAATTCAACTCCGTCAAACAAAAATAATGGACAGGTAAGGAAATCAATGATTTTAAACTTTTGTCGTCAATAATATCAAAATATCCGTTAAGTCAGAAACAAATTATTACAGAAAATAGTTTTGAAATTGTACGAGTATAAATAATATAAATACTTTTATATTATTTTCTACCACTATAATTTAATTCTTAAATTATGAACTTCAATTTTAGTAATCGTAGTAAAAGAAATAAGGGTTAATGTTACGTATGGTTCCAAAATGGCCGCGCTTCCGACTGTTCCAAGGTCTATATAAGAAGGTCAGGACACGCGTGATCTACTTCTTGAGCTGCCATTTTGGGGTTTTTTGAGTTGCATGTTTTAAGCAAACTTGTACGAGCAGTCAGTTTTATATGACATTAATTAAACTAAACTTGCATAAATCCTGTAATTTCCAGTCAAAAATATAATAATAATTTCGGATGATTATGCAACCCCAATTTTATGTAACGTTTTCATCAAATAGTTTAAAAGAAACAAGCATCCTTATCTTTTGCTGTCATGATTGAAATTAATTAAATAGGTACTAAAACTGATGCAATTACGTATATACCACTTCGTAAAGTGATGCAATAACATCAAAAAAGTTTAAAGTATAATAAAAAATAAAATAATATAATACAGTATAACAAATTTATAATTATTTTTTTAAAGCATGATTGGTTATAAAATTAAGATGAAATTCAATAGTATTATTAATACATGTTGTCAATGTATGCTCATTTTATAATAAGTAATAGATGTGTAGATATATTTTTAATTTTAAATAGCTTTCAAAAAATTCCAAAAATAAGATTTAAAATTAAATTATTTGACAATAAACTATATATATATATATATAGGCACGTAAACAAAGTATTCCTAGAACTAGTACATTTTGAAGGAAAATAGTACATTTTTTAAAGCACTTCAGTACATTTTGAAATTTCATTGCGGCAACACTGATCTCTCACTTCATTCTTACTGAAGACAGAGATAGACAATGGCAAACTAAGAACACTAGAAACATTAGAAATCTTTGCAAAATCCCTTAAAGGGTATTGCATTAATAGCAAGGATGCTAACTCGTTATCCACAGCTTCACAATCACTCCTAAACAATCCCCTAAAGGAAGTGGATTAATTTACTCATTCCTATAAGAACGTCACATGATTTTACGAATTTATAAACATGTCTTATTTTTAATTAACTTTTTAATTTAATAAGCTATTTTTTAATTTTCAATTTATTAAAAATTCTCTATCAAAAAATCCCAAATCTATATAGTTAATTAACTTAACAAAACTTAAATATCTGCAAGGAATGTTTATCCACATTATCATTAAAACCACAGTGGGCAAACAGGCATTTCCTTTAGATAGCTGAGGAATACAAATTTTTAAGAGTACATTGCTTGGTAAAGGACTGGATAAGCAAACCAATGACAATTCATTACAAATGAAAAAAGCGATATCACTGGCACCCGAACAGTGAGTCAATTCCTGCAGTGTCCGGGGAAAACCAGATGGGTGGTAACACTAATTGTGTCAAAGTGGTATTGTATAAAATATTGCTATGTAATGTTCTGGACATGTTGGTTGCATGATTGCCAATGGCTGTATGAAGTGTTCCACAAATTAGCAGCTCTCCATTCTCCCATACGAAAAGCCATCTCTCACAGTGTTGCCGTTCCTAGTACATTTGTACTTTTCTGGTACATTTTGCCCTTTCCAATAAATTGAAAGTACATTTAGATTTTTAGTACATTTTCAGTACATTATAATATTTCAAGTACCATTTACGGTACAAAATAATATTTCACGCCTTAACGAAAAAATGAGAAAAAATTAGTTTAATAAAGTCTCACTAGTGTCACTGCTTGCTAATTTAAATTATCCAATCACAACATACAAATGGTGTGTGTCCGTCGACGTCAGCAACATAGATAGTTGCACGTGTAAACGGTCTTGACTCAGTGGTCTTCTTTCACACGTTCAGTTGTCTGCACATTCTCATCAGGACCTTGACAAAATTTTTCATGCCACGTGGTCCAAACAATTCAACTCCGTCAAACAAAAATAATGGACAGGTAAGGAAATCAATGATTTTAAACTTTTGTCGTCAATAATATCAAAATATCCGTTAAGTCAGAAACAAATTATTACAGAAAATAGTTTTGAAATTGTACGAGTATAAATAATATAAATACTTTTATATTATTTTCTACCACTATAATTTAATTCTTAAATTATGAACTTCAATTTTAGTAATCGTAGTAAAAGAAATAAGGGTTAATGTTACGTATGGTTCCAAAATGGCCGCGCTTCCGACTGTTCCAAGGTCTATATAAGAAGGTCAGGACACGCGTGATCTACTTCTTGAGCTGCCATTTTGGGGTTTTTTGAGTTGCATGTTTTAAGCAAACTTGTACGAGCAGTCAGTTTTATATGACATTAATTAAACTAAACTTGCATAAATCCTGTAATTTCCAGTCAAAAATATAATAATAATTTCGGATGATTATGCAACCCCAATTTTATGTAACGTTTTCATCAAATAGTTTAAAAGAAACAAGCATCCTTATCTTTTGCTGTCATGATTGAAATTAATTAAATAGGTACTAAAACTGATGCAATTACGTATATACCACTTCGTAAAGTGATGCAATAACATCAAAAAAGTTTAAAGTATAATAAAAAATAAAATAATATAATACAGTATAACAAATTTATAATTATTTTTTTAAAGCATGATTGGTTATAAAATTAAGATGAAATTCAATAGTATTATTAATACATGTTGTCAATGTATGCTCATTTTATAATAAGTAATAGATGTGTAGATATATTTTTAATTTTAAATAGCTTTCAAAAAATTCCAAAAATAAGATTTAAAATTAAATTATTTGACAATAAACTATATATATATATATATAGGCACGTAAACAAAGTATTCCTAGAACTAGTACATTTTGAAGGAAAATAGTACATTTTTTAAAGCACTTCAGTACATTTTGAAATTTCATTGCGGCAACACTGATCTCTCACTTCATTCTTACTGAAGACAGAGATAGACAATGGCAAACTAAGAACACTAGAAACATTAGAAATCTTTGCAAAATCCCTTAAAGGGTATTGCATTAATAGCAAGGATGCTAACTCGTTATCCACAGCTTCACAATCACTCCTAAACAATCCCCTAAAGGAAGTGGATTAATTTACTCATTCCTATAAGAACGTCACATGATTTTACGAATTTATAAACATGTCTTTATAAATTTTATGTTTTATGTCATGTTTATTTTTTATTTCTGTTTATTTCTGTATGTATTTATTTACAGTATTTATTTACTGTATTTATTTATTGTTCACTAATTAATGTTCATCCATTTTCTATATGTAAAAACCATGAAGAATTTTTATATTAGAACATTATAAACTTGATCATCTCCAATCAAAGAACCAGGCATCCCAATTTCTTCCCGAACAATTAATCTCAAAGCAGTTTCATTTTCAAAATGTGAATGAACAAAAAAAAAATTTTTGAATCAAACCGTTCTCAACTATTGCACTCAAATATTTCTTCTTACGTTAGTTGTAATCACTTTGCATTAATATGGATTAAACCTGCTAATAAAATTTTTTTACAAATGTAATAAAACTGATTTTATTATAAACATAAATGTAACTGTGTAACTTTTAAATCTTCTTACTTCAAATCAAATTACCGGAGCAAAAAATGTTTCTATAGTGCTAATATTTTCGACACCCCTTTTATACAATGTTTGAATAAATTGGAATGCGTGTGCTTTTGGAATAGAAATCGAATGCCTTCTAAAGAAGTTCAAAAGTTTAAAAACCAGCTTTGCAACGGATTTAAGTAAATGCCTGAAGAAGAGTCCAGAAGGGGCGTCGAAAACGTTAGCACTATAGATACATTTTTTGCTCTGGTTATTTGGTTTGGAGAAAGAAGATTTAAATTTCAACCTAATTTGTTAATAAGTTAACTAACAGTGTGACATTTATCTGGTATAATTTAAAGATGAAAAAAAATAAAAAGTACTAAAATCTGTTCAAAATAAAAAAATATATTGTATAGTGCAATTCCAATTTACATGGGTTTGTCAATATCTATTTAAACAGTGATAAATAGATTTCAAGCAATCTCTCACCTGATAAGTACATGCTTTAACTGATGAATAACCACTCTCATTTAGAAGATAAGGACTTGAACCAGAACTATTTTCCACATCCATGGATTCAGATAATGAAGCTATTTTTGTGTCATGATTATCTTCATGAGAATCAATGTTAACAAATAATCTGGAATCTGAAAGGAAAGACATCAAGAATTAATTATAATGTAAAAAGAATTCAAAATAAATTTCATACGCAAGTGCTATGTGTTGAAATTACAGTAGAGCGTCATTTATCCGAATCAATTGGGGACTGTGGTTGTTTGGATAACTTATTTTTCGGATAACCGATTATGTACGAAAAAATATATTCACCTATCCAATGTTGAAATTTTTCTCTGTTGCTTGTCGCTTTGCATTGAATTTTCGTCAATGTTAAGCCTAATGTAAATTTTTATAATAATAATCGTGACTATTGTATTGTTAAAAATTATTTCTTTATTTTGTACAAACAAAATAAATATATTGAAAAATATAAAAACAAAAAATTATACTTTAGAAGTTAATCTAGTATCAAAAACATTCAATTCAGCACGACACACGTCCAGACATAGTCCTCAGAAAAACACCACAAAAAAGTGCTAGTGCTGTCAGCTAAAACACCAGCTTTTGGATAAATGACACTCTACTGTAATATATACAGTAGAGCATCAATTAACCGAAAGCTTTCCAGTTGGCAAATTTAAATTTCTGCTAGTGCTGTGGTGCTGCAATCTTTGGTTATGTCTTGGGCTACTCCAATATTATTTTTGTTGGTGCACTAATAATATTTTGTTTTAGCTGGCAGCACTGGTGAGGGAGAGACCTTGAGAGGGTACTTAAGGATGTGCCAGGATTTGAACAAATTTCAACATGGGATAGGTTAATATATTTTTTCGTACATGATCAGTTATCCGAACAACCCCAATCCCCTATTAATTTGGATAATCGATGCTCTACTGTATTTAAAATACACATTTCAGGCATATCATGCCCTTCTTCAGCCAACTCGGGATTATTTATAAAGTGGGTATCATGGATACAGCTTACACATTTATTGTCTATCTTCATTGTTTTCTTTTTTGGGTGGCAAAATTAAAAGATGGATGTACCGTCAATACAAGATTTTTTGCTTACATCTGTATTCTTGTATTTTTTTTTTTTTGAAGAGGGCATGTTATGCCTAAAATGTGTATTTTAATTTCAAATTTTTCAGTTTTTTGGAGCAATTCTAGCAGCTGTTTTATGCTGTAATCGTGTGGAAAAATGTGTGTATTAATAAGCCTTTGAGTAATCATTCTAGTAATATAATAGGTGAACAGCATTTATCAACCACTGGTCTTATGCTTTTTTCCAGTTTATGTGTCTTGGCAAACCTAAACAGTCTAGGAACTGATGGAGAGGTGACTACTATTTTCTTCATTCCGAGTTATTTTGCAAGGGTTGTGTTAAAAAAGTGTTTGACTCTTATCTGTAACCACTCCAGAGCATGTGAGTGGGCAGTCTTGCATTGTGTTTCTTTTATGTATTTTAATAAAAGCTCGTTATATGTAGATATTTTCATGACTACCATGTCCTTTGATATGTCACCTCTTGTAAGTACTATATTATTTACCTTTATCCACTTTTTACTTTCTCTTATATTTTTCCATACTGGATTGCAGTCAGTTCTAGCACATTCGTCCTTTACTTTAAATATCGTTTTCCATCTGAATATTTCTTTCTTAAGTTCAAAACTATCTAAAATATATAGAGAAATTTCCAGAATAACTAATGTTCATTTAGCAGATAGATGTTCTCTGACAACTTTTGCACCCATCAGAAATGATAAGAAATCTATATCTGACTCTCATTCTCCCGGTATTTACACAGTACCAGTTTGATGGCAGAATTAACTGCACAATATTATAAATTGGTGCCACAGCAAAGGGTCTCACTATGAGAATGAGGAACGCGAATACATTATAAGAAAGAAACTTTCATCCAAAACCTTAGCCACTTATGCCAGATGTGAGGACATACATGATGATCTACAAGACACAAGATTGTTACACAGAGTTTCCAATGGGGCACACCTTAAATACTTGGAGTCAATTGAGATCTATAGGGCACTTAGGAATGGAATAGGAATTAATTTCAAAAACACAGAAACACTATCAACAGTGTGGCATGCTTTTTTTGAACTCTCATAAAGTTTTTCTCATATACATCACATTAGGCCATGCAGATATGAACTTACTTACTGTATTTCAAGGACTATAAGACGCACATTTTTCTTCGAAAAATTGCCTCCAAAATTCAGGTGCATCTTATACTCAAAATTAATATAAAAATGTCCAGTGTTTGATTTAAAATTCCCACGTCTTAAGACTGGCCATATATTTGATGCCGCGGGAAATCTATCTCTATCTGGCAACGTTGAATTCAACTGGCAGCAGCAGTGCACCGATGCAACGAACATGAGTTGCAGGGTATCAAAATAAAATCGTCTGGATGTACGATTACCACAGTTTTTCTCTTTTCAAACAAGCAACAGTTGTTGCCATAGAAACTCGGCTCACGAGACGACCAGTGGTTCTGAATCCATGGCCGCAGATTGGCCAGCGATCATCGTGTAACCATTGTACAATCGGCGGATGTCCGATAGCGCTACTAAGTGTTGATTGGTGGATCAGCGTTTGCTTCAATCCGTATAAAAGGATTGAATTTAGGCGGTAAAAATGGTAAAAATGTTATTTTTTTTAAAAATTGCTAAAAAGTTAAGGTGCGTCTTATAGTCCGTAAAATACGGTAAATGAAAATTTAAATTTAATTAGTTAATTGTGTAAAAAATTGTTTGAGAAATTATTTTAACTGTTTTTGTCTTAAATTAAATATGTAATTTTTTCGAAGAATAATTTAAATGCATTTTGTAAGTTATTTAAAAACAATTTTAAACATTACACGTAATTTGGCCCAGAAATAATTTTAAATCAAAATTGTTCATAAAATCTTGTTTGATTTTAATGTAGCCATTTTGTTCTGTGTTATATACCTGAAGATGTCTGTTATAAACAGGTGAAAGTATTAGTAAAAATATGTCAATTTCTTGTGTGCTGGTTTAGGTCTGTTGTTTGTGTTCATTCTCTATACATAATTACAACTCTTTCTTTATCCTATTTGACCACTAATATGAACAGTAATGATTTTGTTCTCATATCCAATAATGTTTTTTTTAAATATCTATAAAATTAACAGTAAACTAAGTGCTTCATCATATTTTATCAGTATTATATGCTAAACAAAAAAATTAAAATTTCTTACTCTCTGATAAATTATCCCACTGATCCACAATGTAACTTTGACAGCTTTCTTCTGATGTACTTGCACTATCGGTAGTTATCATCATATTACAAGATTTTCTTGACGTAATAACTGTTCTAACAGTTCCTGTTTCAGAATCACTTTCTTCATCTGAAATAATCAAAGTAACATTTAAATCTCATAAAAATAAATAAATAAAGTGTTGCCTTGTACTTCAAATTTAATTTGTTCCAGGAGGCAATTAAAACATCTGAATTCTTCAAAGTTTAAATTAATTTTTCCCATTAGAAAGAATGGAAAGTGAATTAATCCATTCCCGGACCCTAAATGATACCCATTTTGGTAAACTTAACACAGCTAATACACATATTTTAAAGTAAAAATAACATAATTAAATGCCTTAATAATACATAAAAACCTAAAAACATATAAAACATAAATACTGTATAATAAAATGAAAATTGAATTTACTGGTTGCACACTGTCAACTTTGGAATCTTGTGGCAACTAAACATGGCCACAGATCCACCATACATCTGAAATTTTCAAGCTTCACAATAAGTTCCTTTATCATCTCAATTGTCAATATTACAACCTTCCTCTTCTTCATTGCTTTCAAACACTTCTTGGATGCCATGGTTAATAAGTAAAGGTTATATTGAGTTAAACAGAAAGTTTTTGCATATTTTTAACAGCTATAATTACTTAACATAAATGATGATTTAATTATAGTAGTTGTAAAATTTAACATATTATTGCTAATGTTAACATGTGAGATTGTATTCTTTGTTTAGAAATTTATTTTAAACTTTTACTTCACATTTTGTTTGAATAAAATTAAGTTAAAATGTCTTCAAGACAAACAGTAAAAAATATTTGTGTGTATGGAAAAGGTGCTCCTAAACTTCAAACATGTTAAATGTGGTTGAAAAAGAACCATTCAGGAAATATTGAACTAAAAGATACAAAAATGTACGAGTACCCAAAAGCTGTCAACAAAGAAAAACAGCAGAAAAAGATTGTTAAAAATCAAGGAATAACACAATTTACCATATACAACCAAACACACCAATAACAAAAGCACAAAAACATACAAGCATAATGCAAGAGCAAGAGAAAACTTGGGTGCACAACAAATTGTATTTACACTTCAAGCAATTTTTTCACTGTGCATGCAGTTTAAACTCTAAAGCAATTTTTGTCAAATTTACTGTTGAAATTCTGAAGCATTCAAAGTTAGTATTGTTCAAAGTACTAGGTACCACTGTAAATTACATTACTTTAAATATACAGGCATCCCTTACTTAACATTTTTCCAGTATAACTTCTTTTGATTTTTAATACCTAAAGTTCCTATTATGTTGCCACCCATCTTTATTTGTTAAGGACAGTCCTTACTTCAATGCCCTTCTGTCTTTATTTAGAAATAAAATATCCTTTCTAACAAAAAAATAGATAGTAAAAAATATTTTGGCTAATATATTCATAGATGGCAGTTATTTGCAAACTGAATACATCAAACTCACTCTACAACTATTAGTCATGCTGCAAATTGTTTCACTACTTGAGTTGTGATTGTGAGTTATACACTGCATAAATATAATGCTCTCTCAATTCTCAATGTGTTGTGAGTTTCAATTTTCTTTCAGTTTTGAAATATTATAATTTTGGCATGTGCACCATGAAAAGCTGAAAACTATTTTGATACTCCCTATCTTGCTGTATTGTTTACCTCAAAAGTTGAAGAAATTATCAAAACAGTAAGTTTTATTGTTTCAGTGTGTAGTATATTAGTAGTACCTAATTAGTATATAACTCGTGCATGTTGAGGTAATGTTTGGTGATGGAGATGGACAATTTACATATACCATAGGTTAAAATAGTGCTGGTGACTGAACTGAACGGTAGTAGTGCAATGATGGTTGATGATGCAAATGTTCATGACTCTAGTCATAAGATAATCATTTTTCCATGCCTGGAGGTCTTTATTTCATACCTCTTTTCATAGGTAAAACAAAAAGATATTTTGTTATCCTTTCAAACAAGGCTTCCTCTCTTTTCTAATCAGAAATTACAACAGTATAATAAGTCATATTTATAAATAAGGTTCAAGTAGACAATATAAAAACAAGGGAAGTAAAACATGAAGGACATAGAGGTAAAAAGAATTAATGTTTCCAGCATACTTGTACTTCTTTTCCTAGGGTCCAATGCATTAAAATCATGTGGGAAAATTTAAACACTTGGCTACTTGAGAGTATTTAATACATATACAGTAGTATTATGCTTTTGTATTTAAAGAAACAGAAGAACAAAGAACAGATTTGCAACAGTTCAATTTGTAAAGCATTAGACAGAAGTATTCTTCTTTGTCATTGTCAGTCCCAAGCCCTGATAAGAAAGGAAGAGGATTGGGCTTGGGACCAGCAACTCCACCCCATAGAATCTGTTGCTGCTAAAGAAACACAAGCAGACTTCAGAAAACCGAAAACTCTCAGTGTAGTACTACAGGAAATTTTCATTAGTTCAAAATTTAAAACATAAAACTTCAAAGTATCAAATTTTGAATTATTTGAGACTTACATATTTCTGTACAACATGCTAAATACCAGGTAACTGATGTAATTTATTAATTAAGCAAACAAAATACGGCTACTTATACAGAATGCTATTAGACAGGCTGACACAATACACTAAAAACAACATAACACCCATTAATTAACAATGCCTTACTGTCCTTATTTCTAATTTTATCTTTAATCATCTATTTGGACATTGCTTATTAGTAGGACGTTACACTGGAGTTTAATATTTGATACAAAATTGGCAGTTAGATCAGAAAAAACAAAACTTTTATTAAAATTCACCCGTAGTAATAATTTTTTACAGAAAAAATTATTACTATACACTTTTACAGGATATTCTGGAATAAATTTTTGGAATATCCTGTAAAATTACCTTAAAAATTATTTACAGGATATTCTGAAATCTAAATACAGCATAAAAGGTACAGATGAGTTAATTACTGGATTATTAAAAAATCAAATTAAACAATCATTTCGAATGATGAGTTTAGACATTAAATCAACGTATACATCAATTACTTTGGAATTAGTTAAAGAAAATCTAAGTATGTATAACACACCTAAGTATATAGTAGACTTAATTGAATTTGTTTTTAAAAATAATTATTTTAAACTTCCTACAGCATTTTACAGACAAAAAAAAACGGAATTTCAATGGGATCTGTTATCGGACCTAAACTAGCAGATATCTGTATGATTACTATAGATGAAAAAATATCACATTTCTCGGGTATTTGTTATTATGTGAGATACGTTGATGACATCATCATAATAATACATGATTCACAAAAAATCATAGCTAAAGAAGTTGAAAAATATGCAAACAAGTTAAATAATAACCTAAAATTCACATATGAAGATGAAATAATCAAAACCTGAATAATCTCGATATTACTATGAAAAGAAATGAAGAAAAATTATACTTTTGTAAGTATGAGAAACTTTGTAACACTAAAAGAACAATTAACTATAAATCATACTGCCCAATAGAAATCAAAAGAAACACCTTTCTGGTGGAATTAAAAAAAATACTGAATAGAACAACATTAAAAGAAGATATTGAAAAAGAAGAAAAACAACGTTTTAAAAAATATTTATTGAATGATTACCCAAAGAAACTTATAAGTAAGTGGTTTGATTATATAACTAATAGATTCAATGAGTAAGTGGTTTGATTATATAACTAATAGATTCAATGTTAAAAAAGAAAACATCAATACTAAATACATTCAATTCCCATATATAACCATTTATATGAAATATATAAATCACAATTTTATAATTTTTCTACTTGTGTTGTAGCAAAGCAAGAAAACAAATTATTTGATAGAATAAATTTCATTAATAAAGAAGATCAAAAAGTACAAAAGAAGCAATTGGAAGTTGCAGGAGTAGTTTACAGAATATTATGTACGTGTTTACAACTAAAATGCTACGTAGGAGAACCAGGGAGAAAGTTGGAAAAACATCTTAAAAAACATAAGGCAGCCGTCAGACTAAGACGTAATGAATCACCTTGGTACCAACACTGCAATAATTTTAAATGTAAAATTAATAGAAATAATGTAAACATTTTATATAAAGAAGAAAATATGGTAAAAAGATGGATTAAAAGAATATTATTGTATAATGAGTTATGCAAATGTTATACATTTGAATACGGGTATTATTGTCAATGCATACTGGGACAGTATTGTCTATATAAAGGAACACTTGCTGACTGATATTTGTATCTACTGATGAGGCCAGAACAAGGTGAAATGCATATGGATTGATTCAGAAAAAAACGTAAAATAAATATTTACTTATTGATTGTTAGTAAGTCTCTGTTGTAAATCCCTTGAAGTCACAATAGAATGAGTTTTTATTTACTTGATAAATTGTTCTAAAAATGGTTTTTATTTTTAGAATTATAATTTCTTATATGTATATACAACCAACCCCAATGTTTTAAGTTTATCTTTTATACATATTATCCACCTTGATGGACTAAATTATGTAACAGCAGATTATGCTTACACACAATGATGTGGTCACATGAACTAAGTCTTCATCTGAACCATTTTATTTGGTTTAAACACAAACAATTTTACATTAATAATATATAGAAGGTCGCTTTGATCACATGACCATCCATCCATCCAGTACATTATTACATTATTCCACATCCAAATATGGCATGAAAGTTTGCACACCTTTCTATATACATCAACACTACCTTCACAGCTGCAACATGAAACAACCATAAAAAAAACAAAATCCCAACAAAGTGTTTGCAAAGCCTCTTCTATGTGGCTTACAGAATTATGTTCATTCTCAAAATGTGATCAATCAATTTTGATTAAACTTTGCACTTCTGCATTGAGTTGAGGAATCCAAAAATGTAATAAAAAAAATGGGGCCCATTACTTTGTTTCTAAGATACAGTGGGGTCAAAGTGAAAATATCTGTATTCTTTGACATGATAACACCGAATAGAATTTAGAGAAAAAAAAAATCATTGTACACATCTAATGAAAAATGGATGCAACAAATGAACGAAACACAAGAACAAAAGCAATTGGT